TCTAGCATTGTCTCCAAATCTTACATTCAAACCTATACAAACAACCCAGCTTTCAGTGGCATCACACACTAACCTCTTCTATTTCAAGAAGAAAAAAATTTGTTGCTAACCTTTATGTAAATGCCTTATATCTATTTTTTTAAAGTGCACAATACAGTGGCAGAGGAGGAAAACAATATTTACCCCCAAATCCGTGACAAACAGGAAGAGAAACTGGTTTTTTTGCCTTTAACCAAGCCTTCAGATTTTGATGTATTTTTCCATTTAAAGAATGTTGAACTTAGCAAAGCTGTAATGTACAATGTCAAAAAGCACAGTTTATACTGATTCTCTGCAGTGATAGTACACGAATGATTTCTAAAGTGTATAGTGAGAGCGCTGCCATTGTCTTGACCTTTTTTCTATGTCTGCTGAACAACTATATTTCACATATAGAATTTTCTCCAGCCTCCTGGACTATGTCTAGTCTATACATATTGGGAGATGGAGAGGAAATCCCACAAGAGGAACACAGAGAAAAGGAATTTGCATGTATATTACTTTAAAACCATTTCAGCTTGACCTTTCATGAAAAATGGTTTAAAGGCTGAATTCTCTTACTGTGGATGCAAAGGCTAATTGTCTTCATTGAGTATTGCTGATAGGACCCTAATAAACTGTGAAAACAGGTAGAGAAGGGAAGAAGAGGTTTTGCATTAAAAAGACTAATATCTCAGTATCCACACTAAGATGTCCATGTCCCAAGCAGACACTTGAATAATTGAAGTAGGTTTTCATAAGAGCATGTTGAGTGTTATGGAGTACTATCCTTTCCATTATGGAAAGACTGTCTCATCAAAAGTCATCCCACACCACACCAAGTACATGAATTTCCTTGGCCCCTTTGTTTAAAAAATAAATAAATTTTAAAATTACAGAATTCCTTAGGGTATTATTTCTACTGTTAATTTAAATAGTGCAGTGATTTGAATGTTTAAGACCTCAAAACTACTGAATCAACCCCTTGTTTAAACCCTTGTGGTTTCCTTGTTTGAATTTCTTAATCAAATATTTCACAAATACATAGATCACATTGGAAGACTATTATTGCAAAAACCTCAGCTGTGAGCAGTTTCATGAGGCTGTTAAGTGAGTAATTTTATATCACCAGGAAACGTAAACTGTAAATGGACTATAAATATTCTCTCATGAACTGAATAAAGAAATTCAGATAATACTTACAAGACGATTCAGAAGTAAAGTGTTTAAAGTTTTTTGCATATTCAAACTGGCAATTTCAAGACACTTAAACACACTATTAAAAAACATCTTGGGATTGTGAAGAAAAATTCTCACTGAACCACTGTCTTCAGGTAATAAATGGTTTCCAGGATGTTTTTTTATTCCATCATATTAATAATCTCACTGTTATGACACATTCAATTACAAATCAACTTTTCTCCAGAAAAGTATCAGTGTTTTACAGACTACAAGGAATACTATTTCCTGCTATCTAAGACTGTACACAGACTCTAGTTTCTAAACAAAAGTAAGAGAAATGTTTGTGATATACATTAGAAAAATTGTGTGTCAAATGACTGAGGAAATGTGAAGGACAAAATCTGTAACAAGCAGTGTCAACGAAAATCACAAATCAACAGAGACCAGCAAACACAAATGTCTCTCAACTGTTCTTTGCAAATCAAGCTCAGACAATTTCAAGCAATTACATGCCTCAACATAAGTTTTGACTACACTAAATGCAAAGTAAGTTATCATGTTTTATACACATGTATAAAATAAAAAGTCCTATAAAATGCATAACACTCACATAACAATACATGTGCATGTATGTTCAAAATGTAGACATAGACTCTCACATACATTTTAGGTAACCTAAAGTCCTTCACAACACTAAACCCAAGACTACAGTGTAACTACAACAGAATTATTTAGTTTGTGTTTTCAGCACTACTCCTTTTAAACAAAAACCCCACAGGCTTGTGAGTTAGAAAGTCAGAGGAAAGTTCTTGTATGCATCTGAGACAGAACAGGAGACAGATCAAAGGAAAACCAGAACAGCTCAAAACCTCTGGAAGAGTAGTCTCTATTTTCAGTACTGATCTCTTTCGTCAGGGTTTCATGCACAGACTAGTAAGGGGAAGCACACCTAACCTCATTAGCAGGTGTTGCACACATGATACTTGTTCAATTTTTCACAAAACCACCTTTCAAAATATCTATTCATTATACATCAACACATATAATTCAGAACTCATTACAATCACTGCAATAAACAACACAGATTTCAAATTTGTATTTAATACCTGATATGAGATGTATGGAAACTTTATATTAAACATAGTATGTATTTCCAGTGTCACTATTGCATGTTTATCATTAGAGACAGCACATTTGATCTGCATTAGTAGGGAAGTTGTCACTATTCTTTTTGTTGCTTACTGGCATACGTTTGTCATAATGGAGAAAACCCAGTATCAAGAAACACGGTGTTCAGCCTGTTTCCAGAATTCTTGGCAAGCTCTGCTATGACACTCCGCTACCATATTTGACATTCTTGACATGAGCCCTCCGTGCAGTGTGGTGTGGGAGAGAGTCCACTGCACACCTCAGGACCTCTGGCTGCCTGCTATCTGTACACGCTGACTGGCTCTTTGGCCTGGCAAAGGGCTGTGTCGGCCCATGAGAAAAGCAGTGGAGCACTGAAATGACTTCAGCTCTCCTGAGGCTACCTAGAAATTGATGAAAGCTTTCACGACTTGGAGCAGTAGTGGAGAAACTCTTTACTGTGCCCAACTACAGCAAGGTCACCAGCTGGGAACCTCCTAGACCCCCAAGAGCTTTGCCCCCCACCTTGTACTGCTGCTGGTGGGAGAGAGGCTGAACGGTTCGCCCTGCGGGGAAACCCCAAATTGCTGGAGAGAGGTGTGCTGCCGCCTGGCACCGCGGTCTGGCGCGCCCGGCGCTGCCGGCGCGGGAACTGCTCCCGGTGCCGCGGGCTGGCGGCCGGGCCCGCACCACCCCCTGCCGGCGGCGCGGCCGCGTCCCGCTCCCCATCCTGGTCCCGCTCCCCATCCTGATCCCGCTCCCCATCCTGATCCCGCTCCCGCGGCCGTGCCGGGCGGCGTCCTGCTGGCGCCTGGGATCTCTCCCAGCAGCCACACGTCAATAAAACACCGGTAAAAGACAGACAGGAGAAGCAACGTGACAAAGTGGCTGATCCCAGAGAGCGGCCCAGATCCTAACAGCATCTGCAGAAATGTCTCCTTTGGAACCTCTTCTCATCCTTATAAGACGAAGGGGTGGGGGGGAAGAGGAAAGTGCCGATGGTTACTTCTCAGCTCTGCTGGTTTGCTCAAGGTCGCTCAGTCCCTACACAGCGCAGATGACTACGGGATTACCGGCAGCCCACAGCTCTGCCCCAGCCCGTGCTGGATGCCCGGCTCACAGCGGGACGTGCCTCAGGCTTTACGGACAATTCATACGAAGTGCTGCCCCCTTGTAGCATAAACATATTTTCTTTAAAGACCCTTTAAAAATAATCCGGTACAATAAAACTTTTCTCCCCCCGAAAGCGGAAGACTCGGCTCCTGCCTTCCCCAGGCCAGCTGCCTCCTGTGAATGCTGAGAAGGCTGAGGCAGGAGGGAGAGGACTCCCCGGCAGCTCAGGCAAGGAGCGTTTGCGGTGTGGTAGCGGTGCAAGCGCTGTGAGGATCAGCAGTTCTCAAGCAAATCAACTCTTTTATCGCCTTTCCCGTCCTGCGCTTCCGTCACCTCAAATACTCATACAGTGTCACAGTCCTGGGGTGTTTTTCCCTGGGGGGATTTATAGCAGTTCCGAGCAAGACTGGGGGGATGAACCTATTTGTCATTGATGTCTTACACACTAGCACCCTGAAGTACTTTCAGGTCTGGTTTGTAAAAGGAAAGGAGCCCTCAGCAGGACTTCAGCGCTCACCAGTTTACCTTCCCAGAGGAGAGCCCTGGCGCCCAGAGGGGATGTCCCTAGGATGGCTGTGCCTGAGGTACAATATAGCCTTTCTCTTCTCCCATCGCTTTTCTAAGCGCTACCTCCGCCACCACCGGCTGGAGATGTGTGTGTGTCCCGCCCCTCCGGCTTGGCCCCGCTGCGCTCGCCCCGTGCGCCCGCTCCCTCGCCGCTGCCTCCCCTGAGCCAGCCACCCTCTTTACCGCGTATAGATAGATAGATAGATTTTTATTATTATGATTTGAGCCAAATCAGGGCCGGGGGGGGAGGAGGGAGTCTAGCAGCAGGTGTGGGCAGGCTCTCCATCTCCGCAAAGGAGCATGCTCAGCGCTCTCAGGCATGCTCCTTCAGCGGGGTGGGAGGCAGAGCTGGGCCGGGATGGTGGTGGGGGAACAGAATCCTCACAGCTCTCACCGTCCTAATGCAAAGTTTGATGGTTCCAGCGGCCTCGGAGCCGAGGCCGGCCCTGTGCCTCCCGCCCAGCATCACGCCGCACTGCCTCGGCTCTGCTCAGCTGGGGGACTCGGGCGCCCCCCGGGCGGGGGTGGGGGGTTGTGGAAGGGTTTCCCCCTCGCTCCCGACGGCGAGGGGAGGAGAAAGACGCAGAAGAGGAGATGCCCAGGCGAGAATGGCTTCGGAGCCAACTTCTGCCGGGAAACCCGCAGGTCCGCCGCTGCCTCCTCCCCGCTGCCCCCGGCGCTCATGCAGCGCCGAGAGCACACGGGCAGCACCATCACCACCACCATCATCACCACATTATTAACACTATCATAAGGATGCTAGGGGCCCTGCAGGCGGAGGGGAAACCGCGCTCGGCTCTGGCAGCCGCCTTCCAGCGCTTCCCCGCGCCGCGGGGCGGCCGCGCCCGGCTCCGCGCTCCCCGCCCGGGCTGCGGGAGCCCCGCGCACCGCCCGCACCGCCCCGCGCAGCCCCCGCGCCGCGGCCGGGAGGCGGAGAGGGCAGGGGGGGATCCAAGCCCCGTCACGACGACGGCACACGGCGGGTCGCCTACCTTGAGTTCCTCCGCGTCCAGGTTTGCTGATCTGTCCATAGAGCGAAACTGAACGGAGCGGACCGGAAAGTAGGGAAGTTGTGCCAAAAAAAAAAAAAGGTAGACTTAAAAAAAAAAAAAAAAAAAAAAGAAAAGGGGGGAATCTAGTCTCTCAGTTTCCAGCCTAAACTCAGCCTTGTCCTCCAAACCCTGGCAGCTCCCCTCAGTCTCATTCTCCGCGATCACGCCTCCACCGGTTAAAATAAATAAATAAATAAATAAATAAATAAATAAAATATTTCACTTTTTTTTTTTTTTAATAACTCCCTTAAGGATTAAAGCGACAGGTGATCCTTCCCTGGTGAAAGAGGTTCGCGTCCTCTGGCAATGAAAAGAGGAGACAGCAAAAAAAAAAAAAAAAAAAAAACAAAACCAAATCCACTCAGTTTAAAGATTATCTTTTTTTCTTCTGCAATAAGCTCAGAAACCGGCGAATTGCAGCATCCCGAGAAAAAATCCTGTTTCCCTGGACAGCATCATGCAGCAAATTTCAAGCAAATGTGTTCAAACTGAAGAGAACAGTCTATGATAAAAGCCTTTCTCCGTCATGCCTACTCTGGTAGCTAATTTAGCACCCTGTGAGCGCAAGGCATTAGCGATGAAAAATTTCGCTGGCAAGATAACAAAATCCCCTAAGTCCTGCATAGACTCAAAAATTGTTTCGCAGCTAGTCTCTCAGTAATAGTAACAGTAAAAAGAAAACAAAATTATTTATAAAAGAAAGTCTGTAAGGGATGGTCTTCTTTGAAGGTTATGCTAAAAGAGTTGGGAGGAAAACAGGAGGTGGATCTCCTGCAGAAGAGAGAAGGGAGAGAGAGAGGCAGAGATTTCCCCCTCCGTCCCTGTTTTACTGTCCTTCACCGCCAGGTGACTGACTTCCCTGCTCTGGGCCCGCGCATGGGGGTATTTCTCCCGCTCTCAAACATCACCATCGCCTCCCGGAGCAGCTCAGCCCGGCTCCGAACGCCGGCGGCCGCCGCGGCGCCAGCGCCGCCCCGCCCGGCCCGGGGGCGGGCACGGCCCCCCAGCTCCCGCTGGCTCCTCCCGCTGGTCCCACGGGGTTTGAGTAGTAGCCACCACCACCAATTTAAAAGCCGGTACTGCCTCATGTATCGCTCCGTATAAAAGAATAAATATGTATATTTATATCTGCGGATGTATCTAAATTAATAAAGTGGAGTGGAACTTAGTCTTTGGCTTGCAGTGTTTTTGTGCAGCTGTTGAGTGTATCGTTAACGAGCTACGGCTTTGGTGGAGCAGCGGTCTCTGATGGAACATGGATTAAGTCTGAGACTCTTTTCAGGGTGTTACTTTGTTAATCTCCTTTTCCAAAGGATTCACTGTCTTATGGGTCTCACGTCAGTCCAAAGAAAATCAAAATTAGATTTAAAAAAAAGTGCATTCCTCCCCACCAAGATTCCGATTTTATCTCAGTCCTTTATCATGTATCTGTCACTTGCAGTTTTGGAGAAGAAGGCTCTGATTTCTGGTTTCCTGCTATCAGCCTTTTGGGGATCTTATTTATTAACTATTAATGAGAATTTCAAAACTATCACTTCCTACTACTATCATCTCCTTTCTACACTACTTTAGGAAGAATTGATATTCCTGATAATTCAATGTAAGTAAACAGACCTAATAGCTCCAAGTACATATTCTGTTTCCAGTTCAATATAGATTTGTTTGCAGCTTCCAACACTTCAAGGTTAACATAGGCTTAAGCCCTGAGTGATGTCCCGTGAGAGCCGTTTCTGAAGACTGGATGTAACCCTCGTGTTCTGGACAACTCCAGATGGGAGGCTGATGCAGGTCAGTGATATTTCTTCTCATTGCACAAGTTCATTGTGAATGCATTGTAAATATCATTTTTATCATTAATCTAGAACTGCAGTTTGTAAAGATTAAATACTTGGTCTGGTGTTCCCATGGGAGCCAAAATTCTCATGTCCACCTAAAAGACTGCCAAAGTGGACACTAAATCAAGCTTCTAAGGACCTATAGAAATTTAAGAAAGTGTTTTTGCCTGACAAGGAAGACACCTCTCAGAAGGCACTTCTAAGCCTCCCCAAATGTGTCAATATGCAGTATGAGGTAGAGGAAAGGACTGCCTCAGTGTGTGCACCAAGAGGACAGAGCATGAGAGCACCTTGGTGCTCTAGCTGGTGCCATGGGATGAGCAGAAGACCCCTGAGCCTCTCCATAAATCCATACCTGTTTGCATGGCGCTTAGTAGATCAACAAGTTGTTGCACAAAATACAACTTTATAAAAGCAGAAGACCTAGAGCACCTTGACCTTTCTGCTGACTTGTTGCTAATACATTGCAGACTTTCTTGGATTTGATACTCCTCAGTTTGTTTTCATATTGGCACAAAATCTGTGGGAATGTGATGCATCTGAGAATCCTCTGGTGAATTAGGCATACGAAGAAGGTGGAGGGAGAAAAGGTAGCCCATCAGTTACCTCCCCAGAGTTGATGAAACTTTTCCCCAATTTTTGCTTATATCCAATCACTTTTTCTACCTTTTTCTTTAGGCAGTTAGAGGGGCTATAGTCAATAAACTCATTTTGGGGTGATAGACAGATAAAATAGGCCCAAGGGTCCACTACCCAAGTTCCCTGCAGAAAAAATGCCATGTTATCTCCATTTCACTCCTTTCTTTGTTTTAATCATTTTATCAGTTTCTGGGAGGTCTCCCCAGGCACGCGGATTGGGAGGGGAGGATGGTTCCCAGGAAACCATCAAGGAGCCTTTTTATTCTTTGGTGTGGCCTTATCTATCACCTTACAATTTCCACCCCGTGACTACAGTCACTCAAACTACACAGTATTGGAATTATAGTGTTGCAATATGATATGGTTTTATACTATGAGGATCGTCCAGTATTGGTGGAGGTAACTTATGGGCTAGTTGCTTCATGGTTACCCAAATTTTAATATACAATACAATTATTAGAATGAGAAGCAAAAAGGTTATTATCAATAATCTAGTAACAAGAAGAATAATTTGATTGAAGATTCTGGCAGCTTTGGGCAACCATCCAAAAAGGGTGTCTCACCACTGGTGTTCCCCATCCTTTCTTTTTCACTCATTCTATCCCACGATATATTTCTTCTATGTCATGATAGACAGTAATCAGAGGGCTTTTCCATTTCCTTGGTCTTGTTTTAGTAGTTGTTTCAAGTCTTCATCTTTCAACAGTCTCTTTTATGAGCATGAAATTTATACTAGGGAGTAGGCTGTAAATCTCGATTTAGAATATAATTAGATTCTAAAATTTAATAATTAAAATTACATTTTATAATGTTAACAAAATTACAAACACAAACATTAGAGTCATTACTTGTATCTACAACAACATTATCTACAAGCACCAAATTACAATAAGTTTTTTAAAAGCATATTTTATTAATGTATACAAGCATTGTTTTTAAATTTTTATTAGGATAGATTTTAAAATTATAAACAATTTGTTCAGTGTCAAGACAAATGTCTTGGACTTTAATAGTATTACTTTCACAAATAAATCTTTGTTGTTCTCATACAATGCATATATTAACAGTTTATTATTCATTTTCATATTTTCGGGTTCATACTCTATGCTTTAGAGGATAGAGCATAGTTCCATGGTGATTTAGGTTTAAGGTATTGGCAGCACAAAAGCTGTCTCTATATTGCTGGTGGGATCTTAGGTAAAATTGACTAGATACCACCAGGATTTAATTTTTATATATATATATATATATAAAATAATTAAATTATTCCAAATCACATCCTAAATTTTAATAGGTAAGGTGTTTTTACCCTACCTTTCTTTTATGATGGTAGTTGTTATTGATTGGGATGACGCTAAATGCATCTGTGATCAATTGACGATCTTTATTTCTTTTTTTTTGTTTGTTTTTTAATCAATTCCCTCTCATTGTGATACCAAATTTGTTAAAGGCCATTGATTAGTTCCCAAATTTAAAAGGGAAAAGTTGTTAAGGGTTATTCTGATTTACTTAGGTCAGTGGTAATTGTGACCAGTTTATTAATTATTATATTAATATTTGAGAGCTCGTGTTATTACAACTTTCTATCCTGTTCTCGGATATTAGTTGCATTCCACATATAATGTTGTCAGGGATGCTGAGCAAACTGGTTTCATTACGGAAATATTATTTTGTATCAACAGCTTGAGTTGCTTTGTATTTTTAATAGACAGATTGATAGGAGGCTGAGGTGTTAAATATATTTTTTCAACAATGTTTGAATTGAAGGTCCAAGCTTGCTTAAGTGTTAGAGTTTGTTTAAAAGTATGTTTAGTAAAAAAGCAGTAATATATTGTTTTTCTTTTTAGTATAGTTTACAACCATGTGTAAGGTCGTTGTAGTGCATTTAGAGCATTATTTTTAATTTAACATCCTATTGAGCTGATGTTTTTGTTAATTCCTTTTGGAGATAGAAAGTGTTGATTTCCATTCTTCTTTGTGATGGTCCACTTCTGTTTACAAAAAGTAGGTTAAGCATAAGTATACTTAGAAGTATACATTTTTTATTTATGACCACACATAAATTTTATAAAATTAAATGACAGTTTTATACCTTGTTTCTGTTATAAACAAGATGCAAGCATTGATGGTGTTAAAGTACACTTGGGTTTCCCCTCCCCTTTTTTTTTTTTCTTTGGTGGGTAAATTGCTCTTATCACACTCTGTAAACAATGATTGATTAGCATAGATAAGAGAGGTGAGGTAAAGTAAAAAGTACTTAGGAAAATATAAGTATTTTCTTTTAAAAAGATGGTTGTAGGTTTTTTGTTTTTATTTTATTTGCAGGTCATATTTGCATTCTATAGTTGTCTTTCCTTTTGGTTAAGGATGGAATTAAAAAAATTTAGTTACCTGAGGAAGAATTGGAAAGGTTAATACATATTTATATAATTTCAGATATGCATATATCCTGGTATCTAATAATATAATATATAATAATATCTACTTCCAAGTTAT